TATGTATATACCACATAAGCATTTTTCTTCACTGTTTATCTCCGATTAATATCTATGTCACTAAATCTCATGAATGGATATATGTCTCCTAGTTAAATTTAGTCTTTCATCCAGGAACTGAAATGTTTGTGCTGTTTGGGTGACATCCCTGAATTGCCTTGAAAGTGGTAAGGTGGGAAGCAAAGTGCAAGTATATAAACAGAATGTTGTAAAAAAAATAATTTTATACTTACAAGTTGCACTCAAATGCATGTATATTTAAACTTGGCTGCAAATGAAAATTAAGCTATTGGTTTATACCTTTACTCAACAAAGAAAACAATTTCTTATTTATAGTTGCTGTAATTGAATTGACATATGCAAATTTAACTGATAAATTATATTTGGTAAAATAAATATTTGCATTTATTTATATGGTTTTTGGTCCTTCATTTTATCAAAAATTTGTAGCTGACATTTTAGCTGATGTTCATATTAATAAGCAAAACAGACTAGGCCACATCGGTTTCCTCCAGTTTTAATCATTGTCCCTTTGTCCTTTATTTTCAAACTACATGCTCATTTTAGGGATTCTTTAAGAAGGAGGCACATGTGACTGTTGTTTAAGGCCTAAGAAAAATACGCCTTATCCAAATTAATCTACATAGCTTAGATTATTTCCTTCTGTTCAGAGTATGATTGAGTGGTAATATACCATGAAGTCTGTGTCAGCTCTTAAAAACCATATTCATAGATCTGTCCAACTAGGTCCCCTTGCTGACCTCTTTTCACATTTCCTAGTATTATGGATTTTTTCAAGGGAGTTGAGAATTTTTAGACCTATATAGTGTCACAGTGATGGCAGTAGCGGAGGTGGGCAGGCTTTAATGAATGTTTTTAGTATCTAGGAAATTCTTTAATTTTTCTAGAATAAAGCAAGCTAGGAATGTGAAAAGTACAATCCCAAAGGACTGGTTCAAAGCTGCCAATGACACTGACTTTGAACTTTGCTGATTTGCAAACACATTATAATGGAAAAATCACACCTCCTGAATAGATGAGCATTAACAAGTTCATACTAAGAAATTATGTGATATTACATGCTAGCACTATTGTGCATATATACTACATCAAGAGATGTGCCAAATGATTTAATGTTTAATGAAAGAACTCACTCCAAAGCCAGTATGTTTTGACCTGTATGTAGGTCTCCACCTTTTATATACTGCTCCTCTTTTAACAGTGGCCAGTGAAGTGCTCTCTCTACTTATGTAATAAATAAAGAGAAATTTAATCTACCTTTGTGGCTCAGAATCTCTTTGGGCAAGGCATATAGGGATAACAGACCTGCCAAATGTATGGCTAACAACGGGAAAACTATTGCTTGCATGATTCTGACTTTGTTGCTAAGGACCAAGGATTATGAACTTTAGATCTGTTTCCAGCGACAACATCTCAGAATCTTCTCACACAGTCTCCATGCTCAGAGCCAAAAATGGTTATGCTTCAGCCATCTACCATTAAAGGAACAAAAAGTTTAAACAAAAAACAACTTTGCTCCCCTGTAGGGGATTTCACTATATAAAGCTTCAAAAGAAAAGTGTTGCACACTAAATCCTGTGAATTATGTATATTACAAATATTTCAGAAACTAAAGATAGGCAACACACTCCTGTGTTTCTATGATCCAGCTGCTAGATTAGTTTAGGAAATAGATTTGAATTATGGAAAGTTTTGGAAATCTCACTCCAGGGAACTGTGGAGCTGAATCCTTTGTCATTTTTTGGAGATCTTAAAAAACAGTTTTATTTCAACTGGCCTTCAACACTGGCTAAGATTTATTGGCATTTGTCTTGGGGAAAGAGTTGACTTATTATTACTACTATTCTTTATACTTTTGACTTCTTCCATTCCCTTCTTTGTTGGTTTTCCAGAAATTTAAAAATCTTTTAAGTGTTTTGGAAACCTTTTGCTATTATGTCTAAGTTTTTAGAGGAGCAGGACAGTTATTCCTACTATTTGTTGGATTAAGCTAACCATGTACACTGCTCAAAAAAATAAAGGGAACACAAAAATAAGACATCCTAGATCTGAATGAAATATTCTTATTAAATACTTCATTACATAGTTGAATGTGCTGACAACAAAATCACACAAAAATTATCAATGAAAATCAAATTTAGCAACCCATGGAGGTCTGGATTTGGAGTTACGTTCAAAATTAAAGTGGAAAAAAACACTACAGGCTGATCCAACTTTGATGTAATGTCCTTAAAACAAGTCAAAATGAGGCTCAGTAGTGTGTGTGGCCTCCACGTGCCTGTATGACCTCCCTACAATGCCTGGGCATGCTCCTGATGTGGTGGCGGATGGTCTCCTGAGGGATCTCCTCCCACACCTGGACTAAAGCATCCAACTCCTGGACAGTCTGTGGTGCAATGTGGCATTGGTGGATGGAGTGAGATGTGATGTCCCAGATGTGCTCAATTGGATTCAGGTCTGGGGTACAAGCGGGCCGGTCCATAGCATGGCTTGCCTTCCTCTTGCAGAAACTGTTTACACACTCCAGCCACATGAGGTCTATCATTGTCTTGCATTAGGAGGAACCCAGGGCCAACCTCACCAGCACATGGTCTCACAAGGGGTCTGAAGATCTCATCTCGGTACCTAATGGCAGTCAAGCTACCTCTGGTGAGCACATGGAGGGCTGTGCAGCCCCCTAAAGAAATGCCATCCCACACCATTACTGACCCACTGCCAGACCAGTCATGCTGGAAGATGTTGCAGGCAGCAGAACATTCTCCACGGCATCTCCAGACCCTGTCACATGTGCTCAGTGTGAACCTGCTTTCATCAGTGAAGAGCACAGGGCGGCAGTGGGGAATTTGCCACTCTTGGTGTTCTCTGGCAAATGCCAAACGTCCTGCACGGTGTTGAGCTGTAAGCACAATCCCCACCTGTGGATGTTGGGCCCTCATACCACCCTCATGGAGTCCGTTTCTGACTGTTTGAGCAGCCACATGCACATTTGTGGCCTGCTGGAGGTCATTTTGCAGGGCTCTGGCAGTGCTCCTCCTATTCCTCCTTGCACAAAGGCAGAGGTAGCAGTCCTGATGCTGGGTTGTTGCCCTCCTACGGCCTCCTCCATGTCTCCTGATGTACTGGCCTGTCTCCTGGTAGCGCCTCCATGCTCTGAACACTACACTGACAGACACAGCAAACCGTCTTGCCACAGCTCACATTGATGTGCCATCCTGGATGAGCTGCACTACCTGAGCCACTTGTGTGGCTTGTAGACTCCGTCTCATGCTACCACTAGAGTGAAAGCACCACCAGCATTCAAAAGTGACCAAACCATCAGCCAGAAAGCATAGGAACTGAAATGTGGTCTGTGGTCACCACCTGCAGAACCACTCCGTTATTGGGGATGTCTTGTTAACTGCCTATGCTTTCCACCTGTTGTCTATTCCATTTGCACAACAACATGTGAAATTGATTGTCAATCAGTGTTGCTACCTAAGTGGACAGTTTGATTTCACAGAAGTGTGATTGACTTGGAGATCATTTTGCTTATGTATTCTGTAAGGTGAGGGTTGTTTTGATTGTGACAAGGTAGAAGCATGACAACTAATGAAAGAAATACATTTAATGTACCCCCCTTTGGTCAGGCTATAATCATTGTAACCTAAATAAACAAAACAGGAAAATACAAACAATAATACAAATGTTTGGTGTTGTGAAAAAAGGTTTATCAAAAAAATAGACAACATGGCTGTGAATGACAGTAGGATTCCACCACTTAGTTACATCAAAATGAGAATTGATGTCAGGAGAAATTTTCAAAAAATATGCCAGTCAATGGGGTACTTAAGTATAGAAAAAAGAAAATGGGTGAAGGATGAATAAGGACGAAGCAGTAGTTGGATGTGGTGAAAATAAGAATACTGTAGATTGCCAAGATAGAGGTTGCCAACATAAAAAGGTAGAGAGTATAATTAATGAAGTTGATATAAAATAGGATTAGTGGACATTGGGCAACAGGAGGACATGACTTCCTTTTTATCTTGGTATGCAGGCATAGCCTTAAAATAAAACTTTATCAGTCTTTTGTGTATGCAGCTTTTCTGGAGGTGCTTCCCTAATACAAATTAACAAGCTCCACTCTGTTCATTAGTTGATTTGTATCCTGCAGCCAGTTTGTCCTGATTGTATTCCAGCAACTGACTTTAAATCAGTTACACCTGAAGGCTTTTGCCTCTTTAATCTGACATAGCACATTCCTGCTCTTGCAAAACCAAGTCTGTTACAGGAGAAAATATTTTCACATTTAGTCCAAAGTACATTTTTAACAGCTTTTCATTGAAAATTTTGTGGCAGATGTCAAGAAAGTTAAAAGCTAATGTGCCCTATCATTCTCTCTCCCACTCCTCATTTTTCTTCATTTTCAGTTGTCTGGGTTCTTCTTTGTTGCTGATATCTAGTAACCCTAAAGTAAACCAATGTTAGGTATCTCTTATTTTGTGTTTTTAGTTTCACATGCCATTTCTCTGTAGAATGTTGTGCCCCGGCAATGGAATTAGCGGTTGCCTATAAACCATTTTATATGCTCCCCCTTTTCAAAAGTAGTGACATGGAAAACCCATTTAAATCCGTTTTCAATTTGCTTTTCTTACACCCGTATTTATCCATTTCACATTTCGCAGGAAAGGCCTTGTTTTTCAGAAGGAATAAAGGGGGAGGGGAACCAACGACAGGCCACTTCAATAAGGAGTTTTTTTCACAGAACTTCCTAGTTTCATCTGTGAAAAATGCTGAGGACATGATTTTATACATTTAACACCAAACATCACTTGCTGCAGCGCCCACCGGAGTAGATTAAAACACTGCACTTTTCCCAAGTAATCAAGACGCACTCCGCAAATGCATGCCGGGTGATGTAGTTTTTGGGGCTTTAAAGGGGCAGAGCCGCCGCCTGGTTCTCTCACATGACAGCAAGGCGAACGCGGAAAAGAGTTGGCGAAGCGGAGTCAGAAGCCGTGCGAGAGAAGGAAGCGGGCGCGGGAATCCCCTTTAAGTTTTGCCTGCCTTTCCGGCAAACGCGCTTTGGTGCTTCGTCGGGTGCGGCTGTCTCACTTTGGTGCATCATCGGGTGCAGAGCCTTTCCTTGTTTCTTTCTCAGAAAGCAAGGTAGGGCGGACGAATCTTCTCTTGAGTTCTCACCGCCGCACCGCCAATGTTCATATGACTGAGCAAAAGCTTCTGGAAGTGGTATATTTGGTCCCCTTGACCCTAAATTAGAGGTGTGCTTGCACGGAAAGAGGTATCCTTGCAAACGGAAAACCAGGAAGCGACCCTTTCGTGAGTTCCCTGTTACAGAAACTACAATTGGATGTGCGGAGTTGTTTCTCTCTCCCCCCCTGTAAATAACATGAATTGTAGTTTGTTTTTTTCTTCACTTGGTTGACCCCTCAGGAAAGGGAAGAGGAGACAACACCCGCTTCTTTTAATTGGGTTTGGTGACCAGTCATGGTGGGCCATCACGACCACATGTTCAAAGTCTTGATTATTGGTGATGCCACAGTTGGGAAGACCTCGTTAGTCCAGCGATATGCCAATGACAGCTTCAACAAGCACTACAAGTCTACCGTAGGAGGTGAGTTTTCTGTATTTTTCTCAGGGCTGCAGCAAGGAAATTACAGAAACACCTAAAATATTTGGAAGGGAGGCTGTGGCCGGGAAAGGGTTTAATGTACAGAGTTGTTCTTGTGCACTAAGTTCTTTCCCAGTTGCAAAAATTTGTCTGATGAAAAGACTTGCATTGAAGCTTTACTGCAAGAGAAGTTACTGCTGAAGATATTCCCTTATTTCTGTAATTCCTGTTTATCTGAATGTTTGTTTTACAAAACTTAGTTCCTCTTTGTTGTGGGTTTTCCATCCTTGATATGAAACCCTATTTTTCCTCAATTTGGAAATTACTATGTTGCTAAACTATCATAGTGAAATGTGACCTTGCTTACTCATAGTCTTAGCAGTCAATTGTTAAATAATTAGTCTGCTTCATAACCTGTGATTGTGCAGTGTTTTATTGCAGAAAAGATAAACTAAACATTTTCTATGTTAAAATGGGCTATCTGCTCTGTTCTTCTAATTTCTAATTATCCTGAATTACATGTTTTCTTAAAATCTATAATTCAGATCAAAATATCTATTACATATATAGAATCTTGGTGTATAATCTCAGTATGTACTTTCGTCAGTTCCACTTAATCCAGCACAAATTCTACTGTGAGGAGCAATAGGAGCAGGCTACACATGTGATATGTATGTTTGTATTAAAATAGTATCTTTTTAGTGAAGCTAATAATGAAAAAACTACACCTTTAATGCTACCTATGTAAATAGGACATCGGAATGTGGGTGCACATATTGAATGAAACAAGGCATTAACTATTTTTAAAGTTTGTTATTCAGGCATTATCAGTATCAGTGATTTGTGTGCAAGCTTTATTGCCAAGAATATGTGATGATTTATACCAAAGTTGCACAAGAGCTAGTTGTGAGATTTCTGAAAGTAGCTACCAAATTTTTAACGTGGCTGAGTATTTATTTTTTAAAGTAGATGCAAATGAAATCAAATTGTTTGACCAGAATTATGTGCTGGTTAGTAACACACATGGAGCGTATTCCTGGGAGACTATAGCTCAAAGTGAAATCTTTGCCCTGAAGATACTTTTAACACCCACTCCAATCAATGATGTAATCATAGCTGCTGACAAACTTTTCTACAGTTAAAGCAGCAGGCTAGAGAGGTGAGATCTGGCCTGCCTTAGGTACAAAGCCAGCTGTGTGATCTTGCTGCTGTGAGCAGTGAAAAAACTAGTGACAAGCCATTTCTGAAATCTTGCCAAGAAAACTGGAGGGACATCACCACAATATACCAACACATTGTATGACGCACATCCATGATCACATCAGTTTCTTTTTAGCTATTCTGGACTGTCCAGGCAGTCATCGGGAATCCACATTGAATTCAAGGCATACATAAATAAATATAGTGCATACATATCCTTATATTCTGGCTTCTCTGCCTGTCATCCAACACATTTCACTTATAATTCATCTTTGGCCCAGATTAATATTTAAATCTCCCAAATTCCTTTCTTGAAAGTGATGTTTATGCCACAGAATTGCTATACAAGAGGAATTGACGGAGATCAGTAAAAAGAGCTCCACTGAAGACATGATAAAGAGCCCAATTTCATTCTTGAAATAGATATTGATCAGTTAAAATGGGTATACTTTGCAAGTTGTGGGGTGGAGTTGTTCCCAAGACTGCCTTGAACTTGAAATATTACATTTAAATAATAGTCTTTGCTCAGTTAAGTGTTGCTTTCCCTGAATTTTGGGGGGAAATGCAGGATGTTAATAGGCATCCTAAAAGTGTACTTCCTGCAGTTAAATATATTTGTTTTAATCTGTGAGAGGGAAAAGATCACAGAAATTTGTGACTCCAGTAGAGTTGGGTTTGTAGTTGGATTTGGAATTTTGAGAACATGTACCGACCCGGTAATAGGTGTTCTTGCAAAATGGCGAATGATCCACTTACAAAATAGTTGCTATAAAATCTTATGAGTTCCAGTGCATTGATTGATTTAGTAAATTTGTGGGATGCACATCTCATTCATGACTCTGGACAGCCTACAGTTAAAATTGAATAAAGCCAGTAAAAAAAAAATTTTTTTTTAAAATTGCCAGAGTACTCCCTTCCTATTCCTGCAATATTCTGCTAATGTAAGCTTAAAAGTAGAATTAGTTCATCTGACTGACTGGACTACCTTGCACGGCTGACATCAATCTTGAAAGTCCAAAAGTATTTCTCCCCTCTTCTTTCTTTTAGTCTCTGGAAAACCAGAGAGAGTCGCTTCCTATGCTTTCCCCTACCTGCTCACAGAGCTGCTTTCAACAATTCATTACCTAGGCTACAGCTCTTCAACTGAAGATCATTCCCACAGACCACTATAGACAGATAAGGGTAGTAGAGAGGTGTGATAAAAGAATTCTTTACATTTATATTATGATCAGCACTGCCATTTAATATCAAAGAAGCTAACTGTGTAGCCCTCACACAGTCACAATAACAAAGTATATACTAGCAGGATGGACATATTCCAGGTATATCCATCTAAGGACTGTTGACTGATGGACCCCAGAATGAGAGCCTTTTCTCCCATGGCCCCTGCCATCAACCCCCCCAGTTTGGATTGGTCCCTTCTCTCCGTTGGCCCTCTGTAAGGTCTTGAAAACTTGATTGTGGGCATGTGATAGAGCCAATCTCCTGGCTCTGTGGACAATTGGTTGGACTATGCCTGGCAGCTATGTGTTTTATTTTTAAATATTATTTATTTTATGTATCTTATTTTATTGCAATCCACTGTAATGATATGTGGGGATGACTTGGGAGATGGGGCAAAGAAACACAACCAAGGAAATGGTCAGATAAAACACAACTGAGCCTTTAGAAGGACCGTGAGTGGGGCAAGAGGCTCAGAGAAGACCCTTCCTAATATCTTGAGCTTTAAAGGAGACAGAGTTGGGGAGAGATGTGCAGTACTTTCAGACTTGCAAGTTTCTGTTAATGAAGCTTTATAATAAACTAGAATTAGGTCATCTGATCATGTTCAGGGGTGGGATTCTACTGGTTCTGAACGGTTCTATAGAACCCCTAAGCAATCTCCTTTTGTTTTTTTCCACCCTTAGTACATTCTTGCCAGTATGCCTAGACTTCCTGTCTCCAGAGCTTCTGGGGCTTGAGTTTCTTAAAGGAGAAGGGTTGTTTTAAGATTTTTACACTGCTGTTGGGAGGAAATACTTCCCTGGACAATCAGCACTTTGAAGAAATAATTGAATAATGAAGCAGAGCTATCAGAAAGCAGCTTTTAATGACAGGGAACCAAGTTGAGTGATATTCAGCAAGGCTTCTTGGCTAGCTAGAAAGATTGACATTCAAATGTGAGTTTACATACCCTTTCTGAGTTTTGGTCTAAAACTGGTTTTTGGTGAAGGTTAATTCTGTGCTTGGTGATGTTTAATCCTGTGTTTAATAATGGGATAATTTTCCCTACTCAACTTCAACAAGCAACAGCTACTTGAATTTTTTCCTGCTTCATGGTTTCTTTTTCTATCTGGGGAGGGGGGTCTTCCTTCACTGCTTTAGAGGTATCTGGCACTGTCCTTTTGGGATGTACTTCCAAGAGGCAGGATACAAGCTTGGCACTGATTTTTTTTATCGCCTTTCTGCGGGATATGTGACCTTTCTTTAAATCTGGATGATTCCTTAGGTTATCTTGTGAGATGAGTAAGACCAGCTGGAATCTTTAAGTGGTGCAAATGGATCTAAGGATTGCTTCTCCTGGGTGTGCTCTTTCTGGAGAGCTTAAATGACTTCTGCTAAAGGGTTTCACTTTACGAGCAAGAGTTGGCTGCTGATAGTTATCACTGCAATTTAACTATTTTAATTCTTCAAGATGCTCTGGCACCCTGCCTGATTTGTAATTCTGGATTGCGGGTATTTTTAATCTAATGATTGATATTTAGGACAGCTTTTTGCAAGCAAAGAAGCTTTTTGTATTTTTGTACAGGTAATCCTTGACTTACAACAGTTCATTTGGTGGCCACTCAAAGTTACAATGACACTGAAAAAAGTGACTTATGACCATTTCTCACATTTATGACCGTTGCAGTATCCCTACTGTCATGAGAGACCAGGAGAGGAGAAGTGCCCCTTGGCATGAGTGATGTCGAGTTGGCCATACCCACCCAGTCACATGACCACCAAGCCACATCCACCAACTAAGTCCACAGAACCGGTTGTTAAAAAAATTGAATCCCACCCCTGATCATGTTCCCTATGTGGTCTAACTTGTAAGGCCGGCAGCTAGCTACAGCCACACAAAAGTGAGATGAGTATTTATATAAATCAAACACATAATATGTATAAACTTTTACCACTATTTGGGAAAATAGTATAAATTTTCCCTAGGAACATTCAATCAGCTTGCTGAATCCTTCCTACCTACTTATTCATCTATTTTTCTTTATCTAATTAGAGGTAGCACACTTCTGAAAGAAATGTGCTTCTGCACTAGAATGTTTTTAAATTTTACTTGTCTTATAAGACAAGTCACAAACATAAGTCACAGCTGACCTAAGTTTTTCTGGAAAGATTCATGTGTTAATATTTAAATAGAAGACTTATTTAATCTCTCATAGAAACAATGGTGCTTAAAGCAGATAAGATTGCATTGCTACACTTATTGTGTACTGATGGAGGAAGAATGTTGCAATGCCAAATAAGTTGTCTTGAGAAATGTGCAGCTTTTACCTCAAAATAAATCAGAAATATGTGCTGCTGCCAATAATTGGGGTCATTTTCAAATGTATTCCATTTAAAATCAGTGCCATTCAAACTATTTCTATTTGGTGAATACATCCCTTTCTGTAAAAATTGCTTACTATACTCCAGTAATTTTAAGAACCAGATGGTTGTGCTGCAGTGAACAGTGCCCATACAGTTTAAAGCTCTCTTTGTGAAGAGGAAATACAGTTAGGGGCTGTTTGTTTTCACTGTTCTTCAGTATAATTTACAAAGGTTTTCCCCATGAACTCAGAAGTGCTGTGGCTCATGCAATACACAATGTATTTTAGAGTGTCTGTACACAGAGGGTGATCAGCATTGATGCACAGTGTGAAAGAAAGTACTCTAAGCAATAAGTGTCATTTGCTTTTTCCTCTCTCATGTTCTGTATTTACTTTTAGTGGATTTTGCTCTGAAGGTGGTGCAATGGTCAGAGTCTGAGACAGTGAGGTTACAGCTATGGGACATTGCTGGTAAGTTTCAAGGAGTTATCTGCTTTTTGTTGTTGTTGCTTCTCAGCCTTTTTTAGAGTAACTGTACTTACCTTGCTTGTTCAGCTCTCTTAAACAACCTAACAATTAAACTATTCTATAGGAGGAAATCATATAATATTCCACTTAAATGTTTATGTCTTGTACCTCTTTTGAGGTCTGTAGGTGGCAGCACCTGACCAATTTTGACTGCTATGGAAGCTAAGTAGGCTTAGGTCTGGTTAGCATTTGGATGGGAGAACTGGATTGAATAGACTGTAGTCTAACTTGGGAGGTCAAATCCCAGGGAGAGAGAGTTTCATTTTCATTTGCAGGTTGTATATGCACATGCGAGCTTTTGAGTCAGTTTTGATTCCTGATGACTACCCAGGGAAGTCCCTGAAAGAGTGACTGGTTCAGGGTCACCAGCTGCATTCATGCCTAAAAGGACATTTTTTTAATTGCATTTTATTTTCATACGCACTTACTTGAAGTTAAATATGAGTAAACTTTTTGAAAAAGACAAAGTCAAGAAATAGCTACAGTAAGGATTCCAGGAATGTTCTTTACAGCTAATTCTTGACTATTCATTTAACGGTGGCTCAAAGTTATGATGGCCTCAGAGAAAGTGACTGACAACCCTTCCTCAAAGTTACAACCATTGTATCACCCCCACAATTGCTTGATTGTAATTCAGCTCACATTTACAAAGTTTGAAGCAGCTTGCATATAGATTACTGTGATTTCTTACCTTCTCAGGCAGCTTCTGACAAGCAGTCAATTGGGGAAGCCAGATTCACTTAACAAGTGCTTAATGACCATAATAAAAATGTTCATAAAATCAGGTCCAATCAGGTGATGACTCAACGACTGAATCACTTAGTGACCAAAATTCCGATCCAGATTGTGGTTGCAAGCTAAGCACTACCTGTATTGTTCAAACAAACAAAAATCTATCCTTCTCTATCTACCATTGCCCTTGCCCTGTCCAGTATTCTTCCCCCAGAAGTGAGGTGGGCCTCCACTCTCTTGGCCTTCTGTAAATATGTAAAACCATGGCTCTTTTCCCATGTTATATGTATGTTTGTTTATTCTACACATAGTTAGAATTTCCTTTTTCTTGTATTAAAAATGGCCATCAAAGTATAGCTTTTGAGCCTAGAACAGGTGGAAGCAGCTAAAGCAATATGGCTGTTTCAAAAAGGTAAGTATACTTAGATAGGAGACCATCAGAAAATTACAGAATCTAGATAAACTCCAAAAATTGGGGGGTGGGGGGGAGACAAGCCACTTCTGCACAACTGGTGTGAAAATTTCATGCATGCATACATGTAGTTGTGAAGTGTCAAGCTTGATTTGAGAGTCTCTTCCTTTTGACAAGTTTTGTAGGTCTGTGAGAGGTTTCTAGTAGCCACTTGTGACCTTGAAGTTCAAGCATCTTTGCTTGGTGATCCAATGAGACAGACATATATTTAACATAAAAGTATATTTTGAAGCAAATGCTTAGCCTAGGAATTGGTTTTGATTCTAGGTTTTGGGGAAAGAAAATTTGAAAGTCAAATGCCCTTGCCCAATATAAGAAATCACAATCTTTTAATTTATTAGAAACCACTGTGATTTCTCAGTAGATCATAATCTATCATTTCCCCAGCCTGGCAGGCATAATACTTATTCATTTAGCACATTATGCATTATGGGCCAATAAAAGCACATTTAATAGTATGAAAAGCCTCCATTTTTCTTCGGATTATCTCTGATTATATTTGGATTGATTGAGAAAAGTTTAATGTGAAATACTAAAGCTAAAACCCTGAAACAGTTGAATCAGAAAATATTTGCTTTAAGATAATGATTCAAGGTTTCTCATTTAACATGCAGGTCAGGAACGTTTCACATCAATGACTCGACTGTATTACAAGGAGGCAGCAGCCTGTGTCGTCATGTTTGATGTTACCAATTTTAGCACATTCACCAGTTGCCAGAAATGGAAACAAGATTTGGATAGCAAGGTGAAACTGCAAGATGGAAGTCCTGTCCCTTGTCTGCTATTGGCTAATAAGGTAAACAAATACTGACTTACTAGAACTTGTTGATTACTATAAGAGACTATAGGTATGCACTGTTACTTCATCATAGAAACATATAAGCTTTTGAGGAGATGGCATACAAATAGATGCATACATTTAGAAAGAGAGAGAGAGGTTACCATGTTTTTCTGTGTATCACTATGGTGTGTGTGTCTGTGTGTTTTTACTGTTCAGAGATAAAAAAAGAGTATGTGAGTGGATGAGTCAAGGAAGGGATTCCATCAGAAAAGGATTTCATTAAAAAAAGCAACCACCTGTGGAGGATGCAGATATGATGTGATGTTAGACTAAACACTAAAGGCTAAAGGAGTAATGTAAAAATTGTGGATGATTAAGTGACTCAGTGTCAGTTCTTAGCATCCACATAGATAGGTAAATTCTTGAGCAAAGCACTCCTGGGTCTGTAAAACTGGATTGCTCAAAGACTTGGCATTAACTTGCTGCATGTATTGGGCAAGGATAGGGATACATCCTCTCAGTGGGATGCAGTTCCAGGGCAGGAAAGGTGGGGTAGAAATGATCTTCTAAGATGCTTCAATTGTGACTGGGCAAGTGGACAGTAAGTTACAATTGCCAAGTTGGGAGTCCTGCTGAGTCCTGCTCATTGTGTTGCATGGCAGCATTTTTTTCTGAACTTTTGAACTTCATCTCAGATCTGGGCTTTGTTGGAAATTCAAGCATTTTGTGTGTTTGAGCATTCCTGAGTTGGAATTTAACTGAGCAAGGGTTAGCGAAATAGATTTTATAACTAACAAAAAGAATGTTATGTACAGGAATACATCATAAGATTAGGCAAAGCTTAGCACTTACTAGCCAAATGGTGTCATAATAAAAGCTATAAACAAACTGCTAAGGTAGGTGCTATCAAAAAGTTCAAATGCTGTCTGAAAGAGGACTATTTTATGATCTGAAACATCAGAGTAGGTACACACTAAACCTTAAAGGGGAAGCTATTCCAGAAGAAAGGGACTAAAGCTCTAAAAATCAATCTCCAGGTCCTAGACCTTTTTTTAAAAAAGGGTTTTCTTCCCTTATGTAGGTCAGGCAGATTCTACGTGAAGAGGTTGGCCCCACAGTTAAAGGCCCAAGTGATAAAGGACTGGATAGATGTTTACCCAGCATCTTGAATTGGCTTAGAAACCTATCAACAGCCAGGATAATTCACCATAGATGTCATTCTTTTAAACTGGTTAATGCCAATTAGAAAATGAGGTTCTGGGTTCTATGCCAGTTAGTATAACTTGGGCTAAGAGAAGGTACTATAGCCTAATGTCTGGATGGAGATCTGAATTGGGGATGTTCATGTTATAACGCAACTAAATTTCAGTTTGAATTTTTAAATCAACACAGGCAGAAAAGCATACAGTCTATGAATTAAATCTTGAGCATTATATGTTAGAAAGAACTGGTAATATAAGTGTTTTATGTTCAAAATCCTTAAATCAAAGATGCACACAGAAACATTCTCGCACTGTACAAATTTCCTGCTTAATTTTAGTTAAGTTTAATTTTCTTGCCAAATTAATATCACAGACTGCTTTAAGCAAATGTTTGGCTATTTTTCAAAACTCTAACTTAATTAGAGTTGATTATCCAACACTAAAATACCCCAAAATACAATAGCTATTTATTGAATTACAGCTAAAAGAGAAATGCTCTCAGGGTTACATGTTTTCTTTATTCAGTTGAAATAATTTAGTACATTAATGGTGTTGTTTAATATGATTCTGGGATCATTGTATACCACGATAGAGCCACATTAGAGTGCTGTTTTATATTCACAGAATATAAATTAAATCTGTCCACAACACATTGATTTCAAATTTTTTGGTGCAATTTTCTCTCTTCTTGACAAATTAGATAATTTCCCTTCTGATCACTAAAAAGAGGCAGATTTTCTTTAATTGCAGAATGGACATGAATACTTCACAGCTTACCTTGCTGGTGCAATGTTGAACTAAAGAGGTGTATTTAATGTATTTAATTAAATGTAATTATATCTTGCAATTTAACAATAGTGAGAGAGAAAAAACTGTGCTCAATAATTGTTTTCACAGTGAGTTTTACATTGCTGAATTCTTTTTCAGAGTGATCTTTATCCATGGGCTATGACTAGAGAAGAAATTGACCAATTCAGCAAAGAGAATGGCTTTACTGGTTGGACTGAGACATCAGTCAAGGAAAACAAAAATGTAAATGAGTCGATGAGGTAGGGAAAATTGAATGTATAAATGTTTGTCAAAAGAAGTTGAGCATATTGTTCCTTTATGACTGTGTTAAGTAGTAGTATCAAGTAGTACTACAGATATGTTTAATTTCTCCAAGTAGGACATATTGCAGCTAAGATTGGAATGAGAACTATCACAAAGATCAAGGTTAATTTATACTGAGATGACTGCCATTGCTACAGCCTATGGCTGGAGTGTAATGTCTAATCTCTAACAGTAAGAAGCAATAAATTGAAAAACAGCATAACACAAAAACAATAGTATATGCCTAGTCTTAATATTTATGCACTTGTTTTGAATGATTTTTAACTCTCATTAGTGTTCAGCAATCCTATCATTAGTCAGTGAGTATCCCAGAGTTATGGGATATCTGACCTGTAGTTCTGTTATTAAAGATGTTATATAAACAGTAAATTACACTTTTATTATTTACTCATATGGAAGAGATTCAGAATAGAGAGGTTACAAAAATAAATGGAGACTTACTCTTTTTTGAGATGCTATCAAATGATTGCTGCAAGTTTTGTGGGTAACTCGATTTTCCCTCTTCCTAGGGTCCTTATTGAAAAAATGATGGTCGCAACTTGGCCAGGTGATAAAGACATGTCTGTTTCAGGCCATGGGGACTATATCAATCTGAAAGATGAATCCACATCCAACTGGGGTTGCTGCTAACTATATTTGCTTCTTCATCTGACCAGAAGTCTAAAGTGCCATTCAGACAAATCTATATACTTTTTAAAGCACTCACAAATTCTCTCTTTGCACTGTTGAGAAAATGAAAAGGCAATCCTCATTCTAGCAGGACAATGGAAAATACTGTCTTAGCTACTTATGAACTACAATGTACACTTTCCCCATTCCATTAAGCATTGCCTCATCAGCTTCCTCAAGGATGAAGGATCTTCGGCAGATTTCAGCTCCTGACAGTTAAAAGAAGATCTCCACTACTCTTGATCAAAAATACCACTGCAGGGAGTATGGGTATTGGGATCTTTCAAATATCCAAAAGCCCAGCCTGAAGAATCTTGTGTTTGACAGTTTATCCACTAAGTCTTCCTCTACTCACATTTAGCACAGACTTCTTTTCACAAGTCTTTTGTGGAAAGAGGCTTTGGACTGCCTTGTGACGCAGCTGCTGAATCCTCTTACTGCAGCTTTTCTTGAAGTGCCATTTTCGGCCCATGAGAAATCATTTGGTACTTTTGTCTTTTTCACCAATAATGTTATGTCTAAACCTAGGAAAATTCTATGAACTCTGACCATTTTTGTCTCTGCTTTTATGTTAGGCATGCAGTTGTTAAGCTCTTTCTTGAAGTTATTTTATTAGAGAGCCAGCAGTGAAGAGAGGCTAAAGCCGTAAACTTCATTGCACTGATACACCTTAACTTACACTGATACAACTTAATGCACCAGCCATATTTTTCGTCTTTATAACCCTTTCTCTTGCAAGATCTTATCTGCCTCTTTTCAGATTCTGATGAATTACTTGTCTTCAGCCATCCAACTTCTTAGTTAGATAGCCAGCATGGCAGGCTGTTTGAAAGGCCACCTACTGGTTTAGTGATCTGAGGGACAAAACAAAATAAAGAGCATAGCAGGACAAAAGCTAAAGTTAAAATATTTCCGGTGGCTTTTATTTTTATTTTTTTATATAAAAAGTAGTAGGAATTAACCCAATTTTGCTGGGATTATTAGCTGGCAGCCTTCTGTTTTTGGTGAAC